AGTTGTGTGTGTGTGTGGTGTGTGGGTGTGTGTGTGTGTGTGTGTGTGTGTGTGTGTGTGTGTCTACATTAATAAGTTTATATATGGTGTTTTCAAAGGACGCCAGTGTTATCCTTCCCCATACTCCCTTCTCTACCCTCACCTCCCACCTAGCCCCTCCTGTCCCATTATGCCTCTTCCAACCTTCACGTCACTCACATTCTCTTCTCCTCTCTTTGAAATCCCCTTACGGCCTCTTGTTAGTTTCCCAGCTTCTATGGTTCTCCAATTTAAACATGCTTACCTAAAGATTCAAAGCTAACATCTGCACATGAGCAGAAACATTTGTTGTTCTAGATTTGGGTTTCCTCACTCAGGGTGGTTATTTCCAACTCCATTCATTTACCTGTGAATCTCATAATTTCATTCTCCTTGTGGCTGAATAATAATCCATTGTGTAATTAAGCACACTTCATTATCTATCCATCCATTGATAGACATCAGAGTGGTTCTATTTCCTGGCTTCTGCAAATACAGCAGCAACGAATATGGATCCACAAGTATCTCTGTAGTAAGATATGAAGTCCTTTGGGAAGTTAGAGAAAGTAGCTATACCAGTACCATAAAATCCCTGCTAAGGCCTGTCATAGGTTATTTGTGAATTAAAGAGGCACACAGCCTCCCTCTATCTCATCCCCAGATGTTAAGCTTCAGTACAAGTGTTACAGCCTCTAGAATAACCCAATGCTGCCAAAGTAGCCAAAACAGCAAGATGAATAAGTAATATACGTTCCAGGGAAACCTGATGTGTCTAATAAAATGATGGCTTGTTGTCTCTCCTCGTCTTCCAGTGCTGTCTCCTGCGCAAGAGAGCCATGTGAACATGGACCTTCCGCCAATGTCCGAACAGATCATGCAGACACTGAGTGAACTTGCCAAGTCCTTCCAGGACATGGCTGACCGCTGCCTGCTTGTCTTGCATCTAGAAGTGAGGTATGACCCAACTAAGCACAGGAAATTGTGGTGTCAGGGCCCCCTCTGACATCAGTCAGGTGCTGTCTCTGGGTGCATGGAGTGCCACCATAATTTTCAGTTTTTACTGTTGATGCTGTCCATTTCTTATGGTGAGCATGATGCTTAGCAGTGTTAGTGTTCTTAAGGGAGGTGAGCATATGCTGGACTGTGAGTGTGGTGACTCCAGAGAGGAGTGACCTATGATGCAACCTGGATTTGCATGTGTTTGCCAATGATGTTGGTGATTTGAGGGTGAGCTAGCTAATTATTTTTGTAAAGTTTCAGTTTCCTCTTAAAATAAAAATAGCAGTTTCTACCTTAGATGTTATGAAGGAAATCTTGAATAATTTGTACCATGTCTGTCAAAATGTGTGGACTTTATCATCATTGATATTTTTGCAAATCAGAAAGGGAGTTATATCCAAGAGCCACAAAACCCTCCTTCAACAAACTTGAAACCCAATTGAGGAGATTAAGGAAAAGAATGATCCAAAAGTAGGGTTCCAAGGATGCCATGTTCCTTCCCCTGCAGCAGGAAGACAGTGGCCATGCAGATACTTATAATACAGTTACAAAGGAGAGGAAGAAGCAGGACATCTTCAGCTGTCCCTCATTGTTAGCTCATGGGTATGCTCACACACATAAACTAATTGATAATTTTAAATAATAATACCCTGGTATTATTATTTAGATAACATGAACCACAAATGCAAGCCACGTAAGTCTTATAAAGTTGCTGTGCAGGTTGAGCATCCTTAGTCAAGAAACTCAAACCTGGAATAGCATGCTCTTACTTGAGAGCATTTCAGATGCTTTGGGTTCAGGATTTCTTGGCAATGAGAAAAAAAGACTCACAGAAATCTACCAGCTTAGAGCCTTAGAATTTGTGGATACAAAAGCGTGAGCACCAGTAGACAAATACTGAAGAGGACAAGATGGGAGCATTGAGTTTGAGAGCATCCTGGACTATACATTTGTCTGTGGTCACACCACCCTGGATGTGCCTGTTCTCATCTACCTAAAGCAGGACATACTGAAGGAGCAGAAAGGTCATGGGTGTGGGCTAGAGGTTTCAGAAAACAAGGACTCAAGGTGTTCCCTCTGAGGAACTTCTCTAAGTTCTAGGTAGCAATGCCAACGACATCACTGAATATAGACTTCTGAAACCCCCAGGATCAGGAAGCCTGGTGTTGCAAGTAGTGCGTCTTCCTCTGTGTTTTAAAGTTGATTAAATATTTTCTTTTCATTTGAAGTTTCTGTAACATCTATGTTTTAAAAATATAAAATGAGTTTGGCTCATAGTTAAGACTTTGGAATATATTTAGATTCCAGTTAAAACTTGGATGGCTTTGAGGCATGTTAATGTCAATTCCTTTTTATGCCACTTGCTTTTGGCATTCTTCTGTTTCCCCCAGTGAGCTACCTCTCTGTTGCTTGTTAGCACAGAGTGGAACAAAAGGAGGAGCCTGCAGGTTTGGGAGCTGGTGTGCTCAGCATTATTTCTCAGTTTATTTCTTACATTAACTTGTCCAGAAATAAAGCATTTTGCAGTGTGTTTTCTGATTTGTTTTTAGATAATTTTTAGATTTGTTTTCTATTTATTTTCAAGCTGATAATGAAATAAAGCAGGCATTTTCAATGAATAGATAAATGCAGTGGACATACAAGGAAGAAAGAAAGAAAAGAAAAAAAAACACCCAGTAATATTTTGAGGCTGCTGTTACCCTGGGTTGCAAAGCAAAACAAGAGAACAGCAAATGAATTACTCTCACAACTGGTAGAATTTGTGCTATTGATTGGGCAGTCTCAGGGCATGTTCTCCATTCAGAATCAGCGACTTGTGTGTGGTTAATTCCAAGCGGGATGTTTTCAGCACGTTTGAGTAAGATCTTTGAAATCCTTAACCTCTGTCCCATCTCTTTTATGCATGTACTTCTTAGCAGTACTATTCTTACAATGCCAAACATGCTTTGTCAACTTTATAAGAAATCACACAATTACAATATTCAAGTCCATACCTCCTTCAGGATTCATTTAAGGACAGGAAAGGGTAATTTCAGCCTCAAGTTTAGTGCTCTGGATGAAGAATTATTTTTTCTTTAGGTTGAGAAACTAAGCATAGTTTTTCTAAGTTCATTTTTTAAATTTTTTTCTTATAACCTGGTTCCAACATTCACTCTGTTTTCTATGAATGTGTCTCCATTTTGTCCATATTCTTAATGTGTGGTTCACAACACAGATTTCTCCATGCATGGCTGAGATGGTGAGTGCTAACACAGTCTGTTCTGTCCTATAACATTGACAATAGAGGTAAGGGGAACAGTGGTGAGGATATAAAATAAAGCAGATGTCATGCTAATCATAAACGTTGGTAGGGTGTTAGTGTTATACCAAAAGCAACTGCCAGATACTATGGAGACCCATAGTGCAAGGTTGTGGAAGAGACTACTCACTCTTCTGGTATGTCCTGTTCATTGGTATAAATGGTCCCAGGAATTGAGCCAGTTGTGATCCCTTATGATTTCTTCTTAAGAATGAGCTGGCTTTAAACCAAACCCAAATTTAAAAAAAAAAAAAAGCTCTTTTCTCCTAAACAAAACTTGTGTTCTTGAAAGCAAATGAATTGGTTTACAAATTGAATTTCCACCTGATAGTCCACTTGCAAGTCAGCCATATGTGTCGGCAAGTACAAAGGGTGCATTAATCATTTCTCCGTTGTTGCGATAAAATGCCATGACCAAAAGCATCTTAAGGAAGAAGAGTTCAGTTCAGCTTACAGTTCCAGTCTGGTCGTGGCCAGAAAGGCATGGCAGCAGAAACAGGAAGCAGGGAGATCACACCTCATCTTCACATAGGAAACAGAAAGAGAAAAGAAGTGGGATGGGGGGGGTTATAACCCTCATGGCCTTCCCTCAGTAGCAGACTTTCTCCAGCAAGTGCCAACCCGGCAAAGATTCATATCCTCCCCAAATAGCACCACCAACTGGGGACCAAGCCTGTATGGGATGCTGCTCATCCAAACCATCACAGAGGATGTGTGAGCAACCTCATCCTTTTCTGATAATTCACTAATACTTACTTTATCCCTCTCCTATTGTGAAGGAGTTATAACTGAGGCCCTGTCCAATAACTGGCATGATGAAAAGTAATGCTTTCTCTGGCACTTATAGCCTTGAAGACACTGCAATAGGAACCAAAGAAAAATGAAAACCATGGCAAATATGTTAATATTTGCAAAACTCCAGAAGAACTTCAAATGGGAGTAATACTCAGTTCAAAGCAAAAAAAAAAAAAAAAAAAAAAAAAAAAAAAAAAAAAAAAAGTTCTGAAATCCAACAGGTTCTGTGTTGAAGAACCCATCCAAAGGGCATTTGACATTTTACCCATGTCATTGTAGGTTACATTTAACCACCATGTACTATCTTTCCACAATTTGAGACAAAACAGATGGCACCCCCTCAAGAAATGAAAGGCATGGTGAGACCATTAAAAGTTGTTGAGGGTTGTTTTTCATATTTGAACTTTAGAAAAAGAAAATTAAGTTGCCATTTGAGTCCACAATGCCAAGAATGTCACCTTTATCAGCTGATTTCCCTTACCATCAGGAGGGCTCTAAGTGGGTTCAACAGCAACTGCCTGTCACCAATGGGATCCTAAGTGTGCACTTTCTGAAAATCAACCATCCTGCTGTGCAATCAGCCGTGTTTGCAGAAAACCTTAATGCCAAAGTCAGGCGAAGGTCAGCAACCACACACCAGAACCCAGAGAAAAAGAAAACTGTTGAATTTGATATTCACCAGTGACAATTTGTTCTGATTATTTGGGAAAAAAAATAAAATAGTACCTTAACAGTGGTTGTCTCTGCTCTCTGTCTCCAGCTGTAGAATCTCATGAACCCACAGTGTTCCAGAGTCTTCAGAAGCCTGTCTCTTCTATAGGTCTCCATGTTCTTCAGAAGCCTGTCTCTTCCATAGGTCTCCATGTTCTTCAGAAGCCTGTCTCTTCCACAGGTCTCTGTGTTCTTCAGAAGCCTGTCTCTTCTATAAGTCTCCGTATTTGATTTTATCGTTTTACTGCTCTTGGAGCTGGAGAAATGGCTTATTGATAATAGTGTGTACAAAAGACCCAGGTTCAGTTCTCAGCATCCATATCCAATAAGACATCTGGCTTCTTTGGGCACTTGCATTCATGTGCATATACCCACACATGGACACACACATATACTTACTAGTTTTTTTAATTTTTAATTAATCTGTAAAGTTCTCTTAATGTTCCCTAACCCTTCTGATATAAAACCCACATTCCGTAGTTGGCCTCTCAAGCCTAGGATAACTTTTTGCTGCCCATGTCCCTAAGCTTATTTCACATCTCTCTCCTGTGATCTCTATGGAACAAAAAGGAACCTCTCACTTTTGGTCAGAGACATCGCCCAAGTAGAACATCATGCCTTTCAGCATGGTCTTCCTATGGTGTGTGACTATTCTACCGTGACTTTAAGCCTACTTTAAAGATACTTTAGTATAGATGCTAGTATTTCAACTAATACTACTTCATTTTAATTTCTGCAAGGTAGTGATTAGTCAAGATTCCTACTCCCAGATGGGTCATCTTTTATTACGTTGAGAAGATAACATTGGAGATGGCCTATGGCCAGAGCCTTTAGTTGAATCTTCATCAAAACTGTTCGCTTTGCCAATTAACTCAGGAATGTCAGACTGGGCTTTTTATTGGTGACATTACTTATTAATTAGCAGCTGTGAGGATAAGCACATATCAGTAAATATGAACTACATTCATTTTTGTATTTGTATTGCCTTACATGAAAACTTCTGAGGGTATTGCTTGAAACTGGGCAAATTGCTCACTGACATGAGTACTTGTGTAAACATGAGAACTTGAGTTTGAATTACTAGCAACCATATAAGATACAAAGCTAGATGTGGCTACGAGTACCTATAACACCAGCATTGGGGGCAAAGGGTAAAGATAGGTTGATCCTTGGATCTTGTTGGGGACAGAACAGCTGGAGCCAATGAACAGCTTCCAGTTCATTGAGAGACCTGCCAAGATAATCAAGTAGAGAGCAACAGATGAAGACTTGCAGTGTCTTTTTCTTGGTTGTATTCTGTTGTCAACTTGATACAATCTAGTGTCACTGTATTGTCTTGATTGCTAATTGATGTAGAAGGACTCAGACCACTGTGGATGGTACTATATCACAAGTAGAAATAACTATATGAAAAAGTCCAACATCATTACTCTCTAAAAAGATGGAAATTAAAACCACTATGTGATACTATAATGCATCTACATGACCAAAAAATAAAAACAAATTCTTTTTAACTGGCACAATGAGTGCTGGTGAGAATACAGAATGACTGGAATACTCATGTGTTGCTAGTAGGAGCACAGCTCATTAACATGGTGGTTTGTTTCTTCCAAAGCTGGAGGTATCCTTACTTCTGACTCAGCGAAGCCTACTTCTATGTAATTGCTTAAGAGAAATGAAAATTTATATTTACGTAAAGCTGGAAGCAACTCAAGAAAAATGGGTTATTTCCACTTGCAGTTTGAAGGGATATAATCTGTCATGAACAGGAAGGCATGGTAGCAAGTACATGAGTTGTCTGGTCACACTGCATCCGCAGCCAGGAAACATAATGAGAGATGAATAGTGGTACCCCTTTCTCCCCACTTTTTAATCAGCCTGAAACACAAGTACATGGAATGGTACCACCTATATTCTTCCCTTCTCAGTTAAACTTCTCTAAAAAAAAAAAAAAAAGAAGAAGAAGAAGAAGAAGAAGAAAATACCCTCAAATTTCTACTCAGAGGTATATCTCCTATTCAAGTTGAGAATGAAGAACTGTAGTTATGGATGGTTGTGAGCCTGTGTGTAGGTGCTGGGAACTGAGCCCAGGTCCTCTGTAGGAGTCACAAGTGTTCTTAATCACTGAGCCATCTCTCTTGTCCATTCTTTTAGGCATTTCTTATTCTGCCCCAATAAGCTTTGTAGTCTTCAATGCTGCAAAAACTGTCTTGCAGTTCCAGGGTCTAGCATAGTTTCTAGCAATTTTAAACATGTTCAATAAGCGACTTAGTCACATAATAAATTAGCAATGATTATTATAATACTAGTGATAGTTGTTAGTTCTTACTGTGTGTATCCTTCACATCTGGCTCTGTGTTATATGCTTTGCATGGCCCTTTGAGGCAGGAGTTATTATTGTTCCTATTTCAAGGGAAACCGAGGCATAGAAACACTCCAGTATCTTTTCTAAAGTTACATAGCTGTAAGTGTCAAAACTGGGAAACAAAACATCGGTCGTCTCCCACAATAGCATAGCATTGAGGATGGAAATTCAGCCTCTAATTGTCATTGTAACAACACCTTTTGAAAGATACCCTGGCTCATACTGTGCACACAGTCTTGGCATTGCAAGAATTTCAGAAGTCATCTATTTCTTATCAAGAGTATATGTATTAAATGGGCGAACCTCATAGATGCCTGCCTGCTTCAAATCACTCAGCTGGACAGCTAAGATGGCATTTTGGTTATAAAAAAAAAAAAAGGGACTACTGGGAGGTATATGTAAAAATGCACAAGGCCACAACTGCTTCAGGTATTTTGATGCTGTTTCCCAAGCAGCCCCTTGTCTTCTTGGGGATATTTTCATTTTGATTTGCTCTTCCCATCCCACTCTCTTTCAGAGTTCATTGTTTCCACTACCTCATCCCTCTGGCAAAGGAGGGAAATTATGCCATCGTTGCCAATGTGGAAAGTATGGATTATGACCCTCTGGTGGTCAAGCTCAACAAAGACATCAGTGCCATGGAAGAGGCCATGAGCGCCAGCCTTCAGCAGCACAAGTTCCAGTACATCTTTGAAGGTCAGAGCTTACTACTTATATCTAGGAGCATGGGAGGGAAGAAGGGTCAAGGTGTTCATGAATTTCTGTATTATAGATATTCAGAACTTCTAAGGAAAATTTGTTTAGTAGTGTGCTAGATTAGAACTGCTGTGCCTAGCTTCATGTGTGAATAAATAGAGGTGCCACCTGCTCTGGCTGATAGGAGATTTTTCTATAAGATAATGCAGATGTCTATCCTCTATCTACCTGGACATGTACACCACGGAGATTTGGGGCAGATGTATAGAATGGTCCACAATTAACTTGAGAAGAGCTCATTTAACGAAGGAAAGGTAGAAGAGAAAACAAAAGGGTTCACACATATGGAGACAGCGAGGCAGTAACTCTGGAAAATCTTTCTCTGGACACTTAGTACCTGGAAGGGGCGGTTTCTCTCACAGAATGCATTACTCCCTGAAGTGAACAGACTCCTTGCTCTGCAGGAACTTGGGGCAGCTGCTTCCATCAGTGCCCTCTGTCAGCTGCCTCCATCAGGACAACTGTGGGAGGCAGTATTATCTGCAGATATTTGCCTTCAAACTTTTAATAGATATGGTGCAAGCCAAATAATTCTTGATGCTGAATTCTACCACAGGACCTTTTCTCTATAGTACAGTACACAAAATAATTAAGCTATAAAGAGAAGAGGCTTACTTTCCTATTCATGATCAAGAGGCTCCATGGCATTTAGGTGAGTTACAGTAGGTAAGAGGCCAGAAGGCAGAGGCCAGGAGCTAATGGCAGAGCTGCTGACCTTGTGGCCAAGATCTAACAGTAACCCCCACTAGGCCTCAGTCCTAAAGGTCCCACCTCCTCCAAGGATACCCACAAGGCCCGTAACTCAGACCCTTTGGTACACAGTCCTGTAAAGTGTCCCTGCGGGGTTTCCTCTGTTTTGTCCTTCAAAGTATGGGCCTGGATATTAGAAGTTGTCAGTGTCTTCACACAGAATATGACACTTAAGGTCCATTGTCAGAGCTGAAGGGATGGCTCGGTGGCTAAGAACACTGGCTACTCATCTAGAGGTCCTGAGTTCAATTCCCAGGCCCACATGGTGGCTCACAACCCTCTGTAAGTATAGTCTCGTGGGATCTGATTCCCTCTTCTGGTGTGCAGATGTACATGCAGACAAAAAAACCATGTACATAAAGTACATAAATGGATGAGTCTTTAAAAAATGGGGGGTGGGGAGTAAATTATGTAAAGGCTGACAAGCTGCAGACTAAAAGATGTTGGTCATGGCCACCACTGGCTTTATGAGAACCTTGTACCACAGTAGCTTTGCAACCCTTGCCCCAGAATAGGTGCATCCTGTTTTACCATGAAATTTTAAAATTGGAGCCATGGAGATGGAAATGTGTTCTGAAGGAGATTGTACCCCAAAATGCAAGTAGTTGTGACATGAGCCATTGGCTAGCCTTGTGACATTGGACTTGGGAGTACCTGTAGAATCACGCAACTTCAAACCTCTGTGCATCAGAGCCTGTCACTGTCCTCTTGCCACACTATGTGCATTGGACCTGTCACTGTCCTCTTGCCACACAGAGCTTTCTCTTTTCTTCTAGTGTGATTCTTCCATGTCCTGAACCTCCACAGGTCTTCTTCATGGGCTTGAATTTATGTTATGATATTTTAAGTTATTAATATTTTATGTCTTAAAATCAGACATACCCCTCATCACTAGACTCTCATCGCACTGTAATATACTATGGCAGACCAGGACTTAACTTGGAAAGGATTTTCTAACTTAAATATGGGTCCGTGTTGTGTTTCTTTTCCTTTGAGCCCAAATCTCTTTCTCCACTGTCAACAGCGCGGGTCTGTGGTCTTGAAGAAACCCTGGTTGAGAACAGCTAGAGCAAGAGAGAATGCCCTATCCTTGGCCTCTTCTCTTTGATCTCAGCTGAGGAGAAGCCCATTGTGCAGCTAGAGGAAGCCATTGAGCCTGAGATGCGCATTGTTCGTTGATCTAAGTCTAGTTGCCATGTAGGGACTGAGGCTCTAAGAAAGGAAGATAACAGTAACCGTGTACTACCTGGATGGTTCTAGAGTTCTGAGGAAATGCCCTGCTAGATGCTAACTCTACAAAAATGGGACAAGAAGAATGATGAAGAAACATTTAGAATTAAATCTACCTCTTAAAGGTAGTGACCTATAACTACTTTATGTTGTATTGAACCATCCATCATTCCTCCGCCTAAGTATTGCTATCCAAAAGGCTAGATTCACAACCAAAAGACAAAAGAAGTCCTTGTAGTTTATTGACATCCTTGGATACCCTCTGCCAAACTTCATAGACTATAAAGCAGTCCTTAAGGGCTGGAAATTTGGCTCACTTGGTAGAGTATTTGGCCTAGCATATACAAAAAAAACCCTTAGATCATCCCCAAGCAATATATAAACCCACCCAGCATGCTAACACATGCCTGTAATCCCAGCATGTGTGAGGTGGAGGCAGGAGGGTCAGGTTGAGGCCAGCCCTAATATGTGAGGTCCTGTCTCAAAACAATATGTGTACTGTGTTACACCTACACTATTGCCAACGCTGAAATCCTTTAGCCCTGTTGCCAGGAGCCCATATTTTATCGATTGATTCTTTTTAAATATTAGCATTGTTGTTGTTTGTTTACAGTCCAGGTCCTTTTTTTGTTTTTAATTAACCATAAATTCATCTGCAGTGGACTCCAGCAGCTCAGGCTCCCTTCTGTGAGTCCTCACAAAGTGCTTCTCTGGGTGAAGCAGGCCAGTGCTTCAGCTGAACCCAGCGCCCTCTCTTTGGCTTCTTCCATTTTCTCCTGATCATTTTCCTTCACCTGCTTCAGGAAGCTGTCTCTACTCTTAGAGTGCTTGATGTGCTCTATCCGCAGTTAATTCTCTTGGCAAAAGTCTCACCTTTAACCTGCTTGTTCACAATGATGCCCATGGCATGCTAGGTGACATTGCAGAAAACTCTACTGGTTTTGCTGTGGTAACACTTTTTTTTGTACTCATCTAGAGTTTTGTTTGTTTGTTTTTTGTTTTACTCTTCTAGAGTTTTTGGTGTTTTTGTTTTTGTTTTTGTTATTTTTTTATTCAAATTAGGAACAAGCTTGCTTCACCTCCTCCCCCCTCTGCTCCCCATGGAGCAGAGGCCAGGCTCTTGTAGGTCTCTGGAAATCTCCCTAGTGCCAGATCTTCCTTGTAGGTCTCTGGAAATCTCCCTAGTGCCAGACCTCTTCTTGGACCTATAATGGCTCCCTCTAATATGGTAGGGCCTTACCCTCCATGGGGGCTCCCCAAATTCCACAACATCATCCTGGGCTGGGCCTAGGCCCTCCCCCATTGTACAGGCTGAGAGAGCATCCCTTCACGTGGGATGGGCTCTCAAAGTCCCTTCTTACACCAGGGAAAAATACTGATCCACTACCAGAGGACCCCTAGAGTGCTAAGGCCTCCTCTTTGACATCCACTTTCAGGGGTCTGGATCAGTCCCCTGATGGCCTCCCAGACAGCAGTCTGGGGTCCATGTGCTCCCCCTTGTTCAGGTCCACTGTTTCTGTGGGATTCACCAGCCTGGTCCTGACCCCTTTGATCTTCATTCCTCCCTCTCTGCAACTAGGTTCCAGAGTTCAGTTCAGTGTATAGCTGTGGGTGTCTGCCTCTGCTTCCATCAGCCACTGGATGAGGGCTCTAGGATGGCATAAAAAGTAGTCATCAGTCTCATTATAGGTGAAGGACGTTTAGGGTAGCCTCTCCACCATTGCCTAGATTGTCAGTTGGTGTCTTCCTTGTAGGTCTCTGGAAATCTCCCTAGTGCCAGAGCCCAGCTGGGCCCCATAATGTCTCCCTCTAATATGGTATCTCTCATCCTGCTCTCCTCTATTCTTCCCCCAACTCAATGTTTCTGCTCCTCCATTTCCTCCTCTCCCCCACCCTTCCCTTCCTCTCATTCTGCCAGCTCCCTCTCCCCTACCCTCATGCTCCCAATTAGCTCAGGAGATCTTGGCCCTTCCCATTCTGTGGGGACCAAGCATTTTTCTCTTAGAGTCCTTCTTGTTTCCTAGTTCCTTTGGTAAAGAGGATTGTAGACTGGTAATCCTTTGCTCTATGTCTAAAATTCATATATGAGTGACTACATACTATGTTTGTCTTTTTGTGACTGGGTTACCTTGCCTGCAAATTTCAAGATTCCATTGCTTTTTTCTGCTTTTTCTTTCTTCATTGTGTAAATGTACCACATTTTCTCTATCCATTCTTCAGTTGAGGGGCATTTAGGTTGCTTCCAGGTTCTGGCTATTACAAACAGCCCTGCTATGAACATGGTTGAACATATGTCCTTGTTGTATGAACATGTATTATTTGGGTATATGCGCAAGAGAGGCATTGCTGGATCTTGAGGTAGACTGATTCCCATTTTCCTGAGCAACTGCCGTACTGATTTCCAGAGTAGTCTTACAAGTTCACACTTCCACCAGCAATGGAAAAGTGTTCCTTTTTCTCCACATCCTCTCCAGCATAGATTGTCATTGGTATTTTTGATTTTAGCCATTTTGACAGGTGTGAGGTGGTGTCTCAGAGTTGTTTTGATTTGCATTTCCCTGAGGGCCAAGGATTTTGAGCACTTTCTTAAGTGTCTTTCAGCCATTTCAGATTCCTTTGTTGAGAATTCTCTATTTAGTTCTGCACCCCACTTTTTAATTTCATTGTTTGGTGTTTTGGTGGCTTGCTTCTTTTATTCATTGTATATTTTGGAGATCAGCCACTGGATGATAACTTGTGGTAACAGTTTGGGGGCCTTCTTTTTTGAACAGTATCTACTCTCTTGATGTCTACATATCACCCTTGTAGATATGTATGTATGTGGAACTATTCCACTTTACCTAAAAGGGTTAGAGAACATACAGGGAGTGCCCTCCTCTTTCCCTTTGTGTTTATCATTGTGGTGAGTTTCTGGAAGACAGCCAGTATAATGGAAAGCTAAATGTCAGCATTATTGTTCAGAATGCTCAATTTAGGACTGAATTGTTTTTATATATGTAGGCTCCCAATTATGTTCAGAGACAAATGTGTACCCTCTTCTGTTTCATGATTAGGAAAGAGCAAACCAATCTCTCCAAATATCTGCACATATAGTACAGTTCCTTTGTATGTCCATAACTTATAGCACCCTGATGGACATGTTTGTGGATGGTGACTTCAGGTGAGTATGAGGTGCCTGGTTGAGAATATACTAGATTTACCTGACTATATTAAGTTTCCCATTTGCAACTACTAAAACAGTATAGAAATATTATAAGATTATTATAATAAGACTAGCTGTTGCAACTGGGGTATATGTTTTCTTGAGTTGTCTAACCCTATGGAGGATAAAAAAGAACAGCCCTATGTATGAGTTTAAGCCAGATGCCACTAATACATTTTTCCTGTCTCCTTGCTGTGCTGACCCCTCAGGTTTGGGACACCTCATCTCCTGCATCCTCATTAATGGGGCCCAGTACTTCCGACGCATCAGTGAATCTGGCATCAAGAAAATGTGTAGGAACATTTTTGTGCTTCAGCAGAATTTGACCAACATCACTATGTCACGGGAGGCAGACTTGGACTTTGCAAGGTATAAGGGAATATTGGGCTAGGTTTCTTACACTGAAGCTCATTGCCTGTAATGAGCTGCTCCTTGCTAAAAAACAAACAAAAAGCCCTTATTTTAGAAAGAAAGAAAGAAAGAAAGAAAGAAAGAAAGAAAGAAAGAAAGAAAGTAAGAAACCGAAAGAAAGGTGCCTAGAGAAATAGTTCAGCAGTTAAAGTATTTGTGCAAGCAAGAGGACCAGAGTTCAAATCCTCAAAATTCAAGTATATGTCATGTGAGTGGGTATGGCAGTCCCCCTGTGATTCCAGCCTAGGAATGAAGAGACTAAGATTCCCCAGACCAAGACCTGGGTTTGGTCCATGAATAAGGTAGAAGAATGACAGAAAGCTGTCTGACACAAACCTCAGACCTCCACATGTAAGCGCATACGCATCCATTTACACAGACATACGCACATGCATTCCTATCATACACACACACACACACACACACACACACACACACACACACACGTGCACGCGAAAAGAAGAAAAGAAGGTAATACTCTTTAGTGACAGAGATAGTAATTCTACAAAACTCTATTCAAAGTTTAACATCCCTCTAGACAGTAGTTTTCCCACTGCTTAACCTAAACTCTGTTTTTAAACATTTGTCACGTTTATTTCCTGACAGAGGTGGGGCGGAGCACAGGGCAGGGGAGTGTGTGCCATAGAGTGCGTGTGAAGATCTAGCAGAGGACACCTGGTGATTCTCTCCTTGCACCATGTGGTTCTAGGATTGAAATCGGGTCGTCAGTCTCGGTGATAAGTTATCTTTACCTGTTGAGCTGTCTCACCAGCCTCAAATTTGAGTTTTTCATGCTATTAAGCATTCGTGACTTTTTTTTTCTGAGTAAAAGAGTAGTATATGCACATTTCACAAGATATGTAAATTGATAAACCTTTGGCCTAGAGACAGTGATATCTGGTCTACCCCTCCTAGCTTTGAGCACATGTGCATTGAGTGTACACAGTATAAAAGTATGTGACTTTCACACATACACATGCATAAGATTTCTCTTTTGAAAAATTGTAACTATGTTAATGTAACTTTAAATGTATTCATTGCATTTTCCCATATCAATAATAATCTAATAATAATACTAATGCTTCTAGAAAATATTACTTTCAGTAAGTGAGCAAATCCATGGCTATACACTAATGGGAATTTGTTTTCTAATCACTTTGGATGTCAGCATTTTTGCATTTTGTTTCTCTAGTTAAACAAGTGCCGAAGTTAGCTTTACATGTGCGTCTGTTCTGACACTGCTTCTCCTTTGAGCCAGTTGAAACCTGTCCAATCTCCTTCCCACTGGGAAAGGGGTCATTACCATTTCTCTTCTCAAGGTTTGCCTGTCCCAGTTCTTAATGTTCCCTTTTACGACACTTTTTCAAATGATAGGGTTAACTTTATTTTTACTTCATTTGCTTGCCACATTGTATATTAAATAATCCAACCTTTGGTGTTTCCCCAACAGTTCAAACTGTTTTGTAGAATGTGGGTGACAGTACACTAGCAACTCCCCATCCGCCCGCCATGCTGTTACTTACAGTTAGGTCAAATAATTCATAAACTTCATTTTCAAAGCCTTTTTAGCTAGGAAAATGTTTGTTTTTAATAATCTAGAATGTTTCTATTATTTGTTACTTCTCTTTCTTTCCATTTGAATTTTAGATTTCTCTAGAAGTTCAGGAAAAATTGAAGCAGTTTTTGAGTATTTAAGAGAATTATACAGTACCATATGACTTTGACAGTAATAAAGACATTTGTACTGGGGGATCTTTGCTTTGAAAGTGACTCACATAGATTTCTTTTTAACTTTTCTTCTCTAATGTATTTGTTGTGTTGCTACCCATTTGCTTCTCTGCCTCTCTCTTCTCCTATATTTTTCCTACTATTTGCAGTTAAGTGTGTGTGTGTGTGTGTGTGTGTGTGTGTGTGTGTGTGTGTGTGTGTGCGCGTGCGTGCATGTGTTATTAAATTCCATGTTTTAGGATAAATTTGGTGGAAAGCCTTCCTTGTTCAGATTACAGAAACCAGGTGTGACTGAATGCTGCATTTATTTGGCCGCTCTTAGGGGAAATGATCTCATTATTGAATTAGTCTATCCATAATAACATTGACAAGGGGAAGTTAAGAACATGGAGGCCTGAGGGATACAAAGAGCCATTACTAATTCTCTGAGGAATATAATTCCTAAATTCAATCATCCTTTTTTAAATGATTTTTTTTATTTAGCAGAAATAAGTAAATTAACACCATTCTTGGCAAACAGTATGGGGCCCAAACACATACTGAAAAAACAGCGTCTGCATCATGAAACCCTGACAGGTTAGCACTGAGATTGGCTTCAGTGGGCCAGGTTGCAGTGAAGGGTTTCTGCAGGATATAATTGAATGGTAACACAGTTCTCATCTCACAGTTGCATTTCTGAATTATGTCCAAGGAGTAGGTAAAAGGTGAGCATGATCACCAGGGACCGGTGTGTCTCAGGTTACCCATATTCTGTAATGGATTCTGCAGGCTGGTGTGAACATACAGCATGGATTCTGGGCTCCAGATGGTTCAGAGACCTCCTCTCCTTACTCAGTGGGAAGTTTCACACTGTTTCCTCAATGCTTGGAACAGAGTAAATGATCACTAGGTGTGGTGGGAAAGTAAGTAGATGTCAAATCAAGGCTAATGAAGAGTTTGTAAGATGACCAGTTAGGGTCTCTGCCCTGAACGTTTTAATCAGCAAATACAGCCAACTTCCTATCCACTCATAAGGAACAAGAGTGTCTCTCAGTTTTATAAAGCAGAAGATATTACCAAAAGTAGTAATGTAGCCCTGCCAGTCCATGGTCTCTTTGTTAATTTTTTGCTCTTGTTCTCATGTGGACATATTTTATAGCCTTATCTTTCCCCTCCTTTTTGAGGTAGGGGTTGATTTTCTGAAATGGGCTCATTCAATTCTACCAAATTTGAGGCTGTGTAAAATAAATACCAAAGCAGCCAGAATTAACAGACCGCATCAATGTGCCTCGGCAATGCTCAAGCAGTATCTAATCAAGCATGACCAAAGGCATCTGTATTTCCAGTGACTCTCTATAGAAATGTTATCTTCTAACAAGTAATTAATCACCAGTCACCATGTGTCAGGAAACCAACTTGACAAGAAGTAGCACAAGCCACGTGTGGTTTTTTACTGCCTCTGCCTTCCTGGCCAGTCACAAATATGCCATCTTTCTGTACTGAAAAATTAAGGGTGTGGAATGAATCCACTTCTGTTGATTCTCCTGCCTGGGGCACAGCTGTCTATCTCTGTATGCACACTGCACTTAATCTCTGCTAGGGAAGATTAGCTGAGCAGAGACTCAAGACATCCTGGACACTACCAGGATTACTGAGAGCTCTGTCCTCCATGGTGATGATCACTTAAATTTTGCTGTAGTTTAAAACCAAAGAGAATTACTGCTACAGTTTTGACTCTTTATCCCACTGTTAATTTTGGGAATCCAAAAGATCTTCTGCCCAAGAAAATCATAGCAGATTAACTGGAAAGTTTTTGGCCTCTAAGTAAGTGTGTGTGTGTGTGTGTGTGTGTGTGTGTGTGTGTGTGTGTGTGTGTGTATCCATCCATCACGGCTCATCTAAACTTTAGCTGCCATGTTCATTTACAGAAATAAGTACCCAAAGCTGCCTTGGATTCCATGTGGTAGGAAGATAGAGAGTACAGCAAAAGTGTAACAATACCATAATAGCATTATCTAGCAGTCTTTGTAGATGAGGTGAAGCCCTTATTCAAAAAGAATATCCCAGGTCCTCTTCTCTTTCTCAGGTCTTCCTTCTGTTAAGGGTAGAAATTTGTTTGGATTTGGTTTGGGTTTAACTGTGGTATTTATTTGTTTTGTTTTGGTTTATGTTTGGTTATTTTTTTGTTTAGTTTTTTTGTTTCTTTGGGGTATTTTTGTTTATTTGTTTGTTTGTTTGTTTGTTGAGATAGGGTCTCACTATATAGCACTGGCTGACCTGGAACATGCTGTGTAAACCAGGCTGCCCTGGAACTCACTGACATCTAAGTGCTGGCTTTAAAGGCATAGCAGCTGAGCCTGGTGATGCTGCCTTTTGTTCTGTATTTCCTGTACTGCTTTGCTTCTTGCTTTCCTCACTAAGATTTATGGCTGGAGGCAGAGGCAGGAGGAGCTCTGTGAGTTCAAGGCCAGCCTGGTCTACAGAGCAAGTTGCAGAACAGGCTCCAAAGCCACAGAAAAACCCTGTCTCAAAAAACCAAAAAAGAAAAAAAAAAAAAAAAAAAAACATGTATGGCTCCTTGCTTCCCCCTGCCCTTCCCATTTTGCATTTTTTAAACAAATGTCTTAATTTAAACCTCACAAAGATAAGGAAACGAAAGCTGAGGTTCACGAAGTGGCAAGGAAACTAATTCTAAAATGGAGGAAAATCCCTTTCTTTACGTTATTATTCCTTTATTCAGTGAACTGATATTTTTTGGAAGTATGTCCTCTCTTGGTCCTGCCCTGGAGGAAGTTGCATTGTTGTAAAGCAAAGTACAAACTAGTAGGTAAAATGCAAAATACGTCTGTTTCTTTCAGATAATCTGTGATTAAAAAAACCTAAGCTTAGAAATGAAAATTGAGAGTGCCTGGTTATAATTTCAGTATTCATGAAAGTCCTAAGGGAACATGCCTTCGGTGTGTCAAGGGACAGACCATAGCAGGAAAGGGACTCTGAGGATGAAGACCCAGAGGGGGCAGATGCTTGACTAGGAAAGCAGTAGAAAGGTATGGCTAGAACAAACAGGGAGAGGTCAGATCACAGATGTATTTAAAGGAGCTGAGATCTTGAAGGTCTTTGTAACATCACTGACTTTTCCTCAGAAGGAAGTAGAAAACTGCTCATGAGTGGGAGGCAGAAGAGTACCACAATATGAATCCTCCTGTCTGCTCTGATGAAAATCAGAGGACTTGGGAGAAGAAGTTGAAGCA